ATTCTTTCATTGTTGCACAATTCCCTCCCTCCCCCGCTTCCCTCTGGTCCATGTTGCCTATGCATCTCTTGTCATGCAAATAATACCTAATCATATGTTTCTTTATAAATAGTTCTTTCCCTAATCTGTTTCAGTGCAGTGCTCATTATTTATCCCCTCTTCTCTTATTTTTGCCCCAACTTCAATGTCAGTCCTGTTTTATAACAATGGCATTATGCAGTATTCATCCCTTTGTGACTGAGATATTTCACTAAGCATAATGTCCTCCAGTATCACTCATTTTGTGTAATATCTTATGAGTTCCTTATTTTTCAGTGCTGTGTGGTATTTCATTGTGAGAATATAACACAGCTTTCCTATCCATTCATTTGTTGATGAGCAATTGAGTTGCTTCCATCTCTTTGCTATTGCTTTGCAATAAACATGAGTGTGCTGGTTTGCATTCTTTAAAAACTCTTCTGATTTAAAATCTTTTAAAAACAAAACTATTTTACTTTAACAATAAAGTCACTGTGTGTACAATAACCAACAAAATTATTAGGCTAATTCAACCTAACTTAATACACAACATTTATCTTGTTTCACGAGAGTAGTAAAAAGAATTCATATCTATTTTTTCATTTTTTCATGCAGAAAATGTTTTATATAAACATAGCACCCTCAAGTCATTATATTCTAGCAAAAATCTAAATGGAAAGATTTTATTTTTATTTTCTTATAACGTAAACAAATTGAAAAATAAATTTATATTTTAGAATATTAGACTGAATACATATATATTATGTGGTATATTCTAAAAGTAAAATTTCTTTTGTATTCCATAATAGCATTTAACACAAGATTACATATATAATAAGAATTAAGTATCTTTTAGGGAGCTCTGGTGGCCTAGTGGCAAGAAGCTATACTGCAATCCCAGAGGTGCACGGTTCGAATCCCCAAGATGCTGTGCTGGGGAAGGAAGGGCAATCTCCTCCTGTACCAGTCAGATCTGATTTGACAGTACACACACAAAACATAATAAAATAAAATAAAAATTTTTAAAAAAGAATTAAGTATCTTTCTTAATAATTAAAGAAAATATTTTATAAGGAAAAAAGTGGTGGTGGTTGTTGTTAGGTGCCATCGAGTTGAGTACAACTCATACTAATCCTACAAACAAAAAATCTGAACTCTGCTCTATCCTGTGCCATCCTCACACTTCGTGACATACAAGAGCCCAATGCAGAAGTCACTGTGTCAATCCACCTGGCTGAGAGTCTTTTCTTCACCAAATGCCTGGCCTCAGGGAAGTGATCACTAAGCACAGGATATTTTAGCTCTGAATAATTCCCAATCCTGATAAGTAACACAAAATAAAGAGATTAGATTAAATTGGTAAAAGAATATTATGACTTCATAAAAAATAAAGTGTATTAGACTTCTAATCTTAATGTCTTCTGGAAGCATTAACAACTGTTAAATGAACAGTTTGTAAAGTCTGTAGTTGCTGACTGCTCAGCCTGACTCACAGAAGCGTGCGGTGGAGGATAATGCAGGCTGCCTGGTTCCAACCATCTTCATGTGACCAATGGTGCACCTGAGCTTCCTGTCCTAGCTACTGTGTCAGTCCATCACATTAAAAAGGGCTTCAGTCATCTTTGCTGGCCCTCCATTTTACTAATTGTACTATCCTTTTCACAATTGGGGTTTTCTAACAACTTACTCCAGAGGCATCCTCCATAAATGTATACACCATCAGCAAATGTACAAACATTACTGACTTGTTTTCTTTTCTTTTTTTAGTGGTTGTTTTATTCTTTTTTATTAATTTTAATGAACATTTACAGAGACTTTGAATTTCCGTTCATTCATTATCGCATTTTTCTCCCTGCCCACTCCTTCCCCCAATTCACTCTTCTCTTTGAAAAGTAAAAGAAAAATTCCTTCATCATTATACAATCCCTCCCCCGAAGAGCACTCCACTATGTACCCTTCATTCTGGACTCCTGTCATAATAATAATACCTAGTCATATTCCACTTTTAAACAGTTCTCTCCATCATCTGTTTCAATGTAGTATACATTATTTGTTTCCTCTTTCTCAGTCTCCCATCAACCCCGATATTAGTCCCACTTTACAACAGTGGTCCTATGCAGTATTTGTCCTTTTGTGACTGAGATATTTCACTCAGCATAATGTCCTCCAGCGTCATACATTTTGAATAATATTTCATGAGTTCTTCGTTTTTCAGTGCAGCACAGTATTCCATTGTGCAAATATACAAGAGCTTCTCTATCCATTCATTTGTTGTTGGGCACGTAGGTTGTTTATTACTCTTTGCTATTGCGAATAAAACCGCAATGAACATGGGTGTACATATATCTGCTTGGCTAGTGATTATGGTTTCTTTAGGGTAAATTCCCAGTAGTGGAATTACTGGGTCAAATGGTATTTTTATTTGCAACTTTTTGAGAAAGTGCCATACTGCCTTCCACAGTGGTTACTCCATTTTACACTCCCAACAACAGTGTATAAGGTTTCCAGTTTCTCCACAACATTGCCAGCATTTGAGGTTTGCTGCTCTGTTAAATTTTGCTATTCTTACTGGGGTGAGATGATATCTCATAGTTGTTTTGATTTGCATCTCTCTTAGAGCTAGAGATTTTGAACCTATCTTCATGTGCTTGTTTGCCATCTAAATGTCTTCTTTAGTGAAGTGTCTGTTCATATCCTGTGCCCATTTTTCAACTGGGTTATTTACCTTTATCTTGTTGTGGTGACTGAGTTGTTTTTAAAAGATTAAGGTATTTGTCTTCAACTTCAACTCTATGGGAGTCTCAGAAATTCTCTGATGTTTAAGGACTTTTTTTTAAAAAAGCAATTTTTAATTTTAAAACATGTTATTAGTATCAGTAATTCTTAGAAAATGGGCATGTTAAATATTTTCAAGACTTTCACAAATGGGAATATTTCAATATTTTGAATTTTACACATGTATTACAAAATAAGTATTACATAGTAAGTTAGTGCAGAAATTATAAACTCTGCCGTGCCTAACCCAAGCCACGGACTTTGCAATTACTTGCTATGCATCAAAGAGCTGAACAATGACTAAGGATGATAGAAGAAGAATGGAAGCCTTCGAATTGTGGTGCTGGAGAAGAGTCCTGAACATATCATGAAAACAAGAAAACAAATAGGTCTGTCTTGGAGAGGATGAAATCAAGTTTCTCCTTGGAGGCTAAAATTTTGAAGCTCTGTCTCACATATTTATGGCACATGGCCAGGAGAGAGCAGTCCTTGGACAAGGACACCATGCTTAGAAGGGTGAAAGGACAGCATAGGAGAGAAGGACCCTGGATGAGATGGATTGATACAGTAACTGGGCAATGGGGGTAGATGTGTCAGAGTCAGTGAGAGTGGCTCAGAATAGGGCCAGATTCAGAGCTGTTGTACATAGAGTCACAATGGATCAAAGGCGACTCTACAGCACAAAACAACACCACCTTTGTAGTTTTACATAATGCTCTAGGCTAGTACAGTAACTGGTAAAATTGCTAGCTCTAACTCATGTTAAATATACTCCAACACTGGAAGAAAGGAGATATGGGATCCTATGGTTGAATGGTTTGATGCTAAAAAAATTTTACCAGAATCTCACCATAAGCAGAAAAAAAAAATCTGTTATAGGATGCATACCAAAATTAAAGTAAATGGTTAATACCTGGATAAATTTAGTTATTAAAACCACATTATAAAATTATGCATAAAAATAGGTTACTTCTGAAAATTAATCCAATGCTGAGTCCTCAAAGGAAAAAAAAAACCATGACTAGTTAGTTATGTGTTTAATAAATTGCATGGGGAAATATTTTACTAAGTACACACATTCCTTAGGAACATAGATCTTCCTAGAAATGTCTGGAGCTGAGTGAAAAGGAAATTTCTAGAACTTCAGGAAGGGGTTATAGCAGCATCCAGCTCCAAATTAATTCTGTGTAGGCCTGAAGAGGTCAGGTGAGTAAAGAAACATGTGAGATATGCAGTAGAACTCTATGGGCCTTCGTAAAGTCCCATACTTTGTGAAACTATCAATCGTAATTTCTTATATGAGGTACAGTGTACATGAAAGATTATATGAAATACAATGTAGATGAGGGATTATATGGAACATAATGTATATAAATGAAACATAGTATAAATGAATTATTGTATGAAAAACAATTTAAAAAGAGGGGGGACCCAAAAACTATTATGCTAGCTATAAGTACTATTAATATGTCTCTATGTCAATACCAATGTATGCACTACAGGCAGTTCAACGGTCAAGAATTTGGTTTTTAACCAAAAGTCAGCAATCTGAACCCATCTGCTACAACACATGAAACTACTGTAACATAGACATTTCTGCCTCAGAAACCTACTGGGGTAGTTCTGCTCTGCTACATGAGGTCAAGATGACTCAGAAGTATCTTCATGTACTCAACATGTGTATGTGTGTATACATATACTAATGCATATTCATCAACTACATATGTACATACACATATGTATCAACATATACATGTATATATAGCTTGACTCCTGTGAAGAAGTGCTCTAACTTCAATAACAATTAATTAAAAGTACCTTTTCTTTGCAGAAACTGAGTAATCTCACTTTCCTCTACCTGGACCACAATGCCCTGGAATCCGTACCTCTTAATTTACCAGAAAGTCTACGTGTAATTCATCTTCAGGTATGAATGCTCCGTTTACAGCAAATGTCAACTGGGAAAAACTGCTCCTTCACACGTAAATTTCACTTAGACTGCTGTGGAACGGTGATTATCATTAGCAGCCAAGGAGTTACCTGGAATTTTGGTAATGGCATGCATAGCAAGACTGAACCACTGGAATCCATTGGCTGGAAAAAAAAAATTTAAAAGTAGATCTGCAGGCCCTCCTTCACAGTCTGTTTTATGTCTTAGTCTGTATACTCTGCTTAGGTACGTAATACACAAGTCTCCACAAACAGAACATAACCCCCACAAACATTCCAATAATCAAACAGGGGTCTCTTGACTGGAAAGCATGGAGAGCCATCAATGTCCTCTGTAGTACCATGTTGTTGTGCACCAGAATCCACCCATAGCTGACCCTCCTGCAGGTTTTCAGAGGCAGAAGCAACAGTGGCATCCATTTCCTAAAAAACATGCCTCCAAAAACCCTATGAACTTTGATAAATGTTGATAGTTGTAGAGGAGCTTCAAGTCTTTTGTTCGCTATGAATTGTACTCAATTTGAAGGCAATTAACAACAACAAACAGTCATACAGAGGAGACTGCTCATCCTTCGCCCACAGAGCTGCTAGTGTCTTTAAAATTGCACTGTAGCTTCTTACCACTGTTGTTGTTGTCAGGTGTCATCGAGTCTCGTATGACTCATAGCAACCCTGTTCTATCCCGTTCCATCCTCACACTTCCTGACATATAAGAGCCCATTGCAGCCGTCACCGTGTCGATCCACCCGGTGGAGGGACTTCCTTTCCTTCACAACTTTCCACGCTTCCCAGCATCATGACCTTCTCCAAGGACCAAAACCCTTGGTACCAGCAGTCAGGAAATAAGGATACAGGGAAATCTGCAGTTAGGGACTTCTCCAAATAATTGAGGAGTAATGACATCAGTTTGAGAACTAAGGTACATCTGATTCAGACCACACTAATTCCAATTACTTGTTATGCGTCTGAGAGCTGGACAATGAATAAGGATGACAGGAAAAGAATTGAGGCCTTTGAGCTGTAGTGCTGGAGAAGAGCGCCAAACATCCCATGGGAAGGCAAAGAGAACAAACAGATATGTCTTTGATAGGGTGAAGCTGGAGTGGTCTTTGGAGGCAACAATGATGAGACTTCACCTCACATAGTTCAGCATGTGTTGCTAGGAGGGTCTATTCCTTGAAGAAGAATGCTCACCACTAGGGCAACAAATATAATGACTAAAATACTAATATTTAGGCAAACAGAATGTTGTGTCCAAAAAGTCTAGTCCTGTGTAGAGCACCACAAATGATCAGAGGCTGGTAAGAGTTCTCGGCCCTCATAGCAGCTTGTCCTCAAGGGTGCAATGAGCATTCCTAACCACACAAATTTAAGTCAAAGGTGTAAAGAATTTTTTATATGTTTCATTCTGCAAACAGCAAAACATTTACTTTTAAATCATTCAACTGACCTTTTTAACAGCAACATAAGGCAAAACAAAGTGCAGAGGCAATTAAAAGAAATGAAAATTCTATTTGTTCTTTTTACTTTGCTAAAGTACCCATTTTAAATTGATACTCTAGAACAGAATACTTACTCCAACTGCTTTATTATTATTCACTCTTACCCTTTTATATTAAAAAAGGAAATGCTTGCTTTTTTTGCACACTTTATTGTCATGAAGAGACAGAATATATTAATATTAAAATATTAATATATTTTAACAATATTAAAATATAGTTTAAGATACTTTTTGTTGTTGTTTGGTGTCATTGAGTTGACTAAGATTCAAATGACCTCTGAACCTTGCCCCATCATACACCAGCTTTAGAATCTCTGATATGCTTGAACCCAGAGTTACAGTCACTGTGTCAATCCATCTTGTTAAGCCTCTTCTCTCTCTCTGACTTTCCACCTTTCCCAGCACAATGTTGTTTTTCAAGGACTGGCCATTCCTCTTAACAGTCCAATTATGTGAGTTGCATCATCCTTTCCTCTGTGGAACACCCTGAGTGTTACTTTTTAGACAAAATACTCTGTAGGCTCTCATTACATTGCTTGAAGAGATTAAATTCCAATTTCTGAGCACTTTTTTCTTTTTCTTTTTCAGTTTAACAACATAACTTCAGTTACAGATGATACATTCTGCAAGGCTAATGACACTCGGTACATTCGGGATCATATTGAGGAGATTCGCCTAGAGGGCAATCCAATCATCCTGGGAAAGTATCCAAACAGCTTTATCTGTTTAAAGAGATTGCCTATAGGATCATACTTTTAACCATACTTTTGATGACGTTGGGTTTTGTCTCTTTTGGAATGCAGCATATATGCTAATGTCCATATATTCTTATGTCTGAATAATTTTTAAGACACAAATTTTTTTAATACTGACTTAAAACCTACTGTGAAATAATTTTATGTTTTCAGCAAGGAGTTAAAAAATTTTATATATAAAAACAAGTAAAAAGTATGGTTGAATCATTTACATTCAAAACAAAGTAACAAATACATTTAAATAATTATATAAAATCCTTGCAATTTATGTTTGCTATTCAAAATGTATAATCTTCTAGTAATACTCAAACAAACTTGGGAAGCATTATTTCTATTATTAATGAAATGAAAAGATGAGCCAAAAACATAAGTTGTCTCTTTTTCCTAGCCCTTACTGTATGCCAAGCATTCCAAAAACTTTGAAAATTACATCAGACTTTTATGATTCATATATTATTAAGAAGTAGAAACTTGGCCTTTTTCCCATCTTCATCTTTCCTAGGGCAATAATACTATAGTAATATTACATAGAGGCTACTGTCTCTCTTAACCCATGCAAAATTTTCAAATGATATATATTCTTTTTTATTAAAAAAAATGTATTATAGTAATATGATAATTCTATAGTTATTAAGTTAGTGGGCATATATAAAAGTTTTTTAAAACACAAAATTTATTTTATACAAATATTAACATTCTAAATTGGCCCCAGGGCACTCTGGCGGCCTAGCCCTTAAGGGCTTGTGTTGACAGCTCAAACACCACACCTCTCTGAAGACTGGAATCCACCAACACGTCCCAGGGAAAGAGAAATGGCCTTTTCCTCCTGTGCCATTGCAGTTCTAGAAACTCACTGCAGTGTCAGAGGCGGGTCACTTCTGATTCAGTGACAATGATATCTTAAGCGGAAAATCAATATTTTCTAAGAAAAACTAAAAATCAATCTCATTCCTTAAAAATATATATCATGAAGTAATTCAAGATAATGGCTTTCAAGCAATATATTTTCTACAAAACATTTTTAAACTATAAAAAGATTCATCAATAAACTCTCTAAACTTAAGAAATTAAAAAATATTCAACAAACAAATGGATAGAGAAGCTGTGGTATATTCACACAATGGAATATTACACTGCATTGAAAAACAAGAAACTCATGCAATTTTAATCAAAATGGGTGACCCTGGAGGACACTATGCTGAGTGAAATATCTCAGTCACAAAAGGACAAATACTGCATGGTGCCACTGTTTTAAAACAGGACTGACCTTGGGGTTGGGGGAGACCGAGAAAGATGGATTCAATAATGTATACTGCATTGAAACAGGTAAGGGAGAAAACTGTTTACAAGGGATATGTGATTAGGTATTTTTGTCATGACAGGAGTCCAGAGCGAAGGCTGCATAGTGTGGTAGACCTGGGAGAGGGTTTGTAAAACAATGAAAGAATTTTTCTTTTTCTTTTCCAAGAGTGTAGTGTACTAGGGGGAAGGGTTGGGAGGGGAGAAAAGTGCAACAATGAATGAATGGAAACCACCCAAACAAACAAACAAAAACAGCACAATGTATAGGAATGATCATATGAAACCAATGTATGTAAACAAAACACAACCAATATAAAATAAAAATATTATTTTAAAGACATTTGAAACTATATTCTTTGATATTACTGCACAATTAATTCCCACTCCAAATGCATATTCATCCACATTTATTCAAAAAAGTTACATGCTCCCAATAAAGCTTCTGACCCACACTACTTAAAGATCCATGAATTTAAAAAAAAATCCATGAATAACTAATGCTTAGTGGTGAGAATGCATCTTTACTCTAATAAGACCACAACTAAAATGCCCTAATTTCTAAAATAATATTCCTCTTGACTCCTATGTACTCATATATCTGTTCTCACATTGTTTCAAGGTTTAAAAAAATCCATAATGCTTCTCAAATAAAGATGTATTTAAAATTGGCACCATTAAAAAAAAAATCCATAATGCATAGAAACATGAATTTGGACTCTATGTATATAAAATTACTCGACTGCTGCAAAAGGAGCCCTGGTGACACAGTGCTTTTAACTACCGCACTGCTAACCAAAAGGTCATCAATTCAAATCCATAAATTGCTCCATGGGATTAGGATGGGGCAAAATCCTACTAGTAAGACTCACAGCCTCAAAAATTCACTGGAGGATGATCACAAGTCAGAGCCAATGCAACAGCAGGGGGTTATGGTAAGAACCATAAAAGTATTAAAAACTATAATCTAGAATCAAGTTGGCCTCAGTATGGTAACCAAGAACACGTTCTTTTTCCTATTTTTAGGCATTTGTTTCATTTCCTATACCTAGAATGACTTCCTATGCTATTTTTAATTTCAAGGTTAAGGTCAATGTCAACATGAATTATTTTTATCAAACCATAATCGCTTAAGATCACAATAATTACCTCAACAAAACACATCAATCATTTGCTTATGTTATTTTGACAACTGTATTACTATTTTCTCATTATTTTGTGTGTATGCCTTATATCTCAATGAATGAAAACTCACGGAGAACATGAAATATGTGTTAATACTCAATTTGTACTTTCAAACTAGTATAATAAAGAGCACTTTTGAAGTTAATATACCATAAATAACGTTAAATAAAATATATCTAACTGGGAGAGTCTATTTCATTTGTAAAAGTATTATCATTGAATTATCATAATCTTCAATAAACTTTAGAAGTAAAATAACTTTATCTGAAAAAAAATTCTGCTACAAAAGTGAATGATGGGAGGGATGGTGATCAAAGGAGAAATCTATAATGTACCAATTATTCCAGACTCAAAAAAGAAGGAAAAAGAAGAAAAACTAAGAATAATGTGGGACAACATCAAGAAAAATAACATGCGCATCACTGGAATCCCAGAAAAGGAAGAAGCAAGTAAAGGCACTGAAAAACTTGTGGAAGAATTACTAGAGGAAAACTTCCCAGACATAATGAAGAATGAGAGAATATATATTCAGGAAGCTCAGCG